ATAAGCCACACTTGTCATATGTTCAGTGAAATATTCTCACAATATAGATATTGTAGCTCCTAAAGAGTTTAAATTATCAGAATCACTATTAATATAGAAGAACTATTTATGTGAATACCAATAAAATAAGGTCCATAAGTCATCTCAATAATTTCTTGAAATGAATCCATTTATGAGCTGGATTACTGGATACCAGTGAGATGAGGACAAGTGATAAGGCAAGAAGGTCAAGGAGTCCCTACTATGCTTGGATTTAAATATCATATCCCAGTGATCCATCTCATATCACCAGTCACAATAGCAGATACCATCTACCAGATCATTCAACTTTAGTTGATTGATCAGGAATTGTGAGGTTCATATGAAATGATCAGGTGGCTGATACAGACCAGTACATGCTCCAACGTGTACAAGAATCATGCACAGCATCCATCTCCCATTGCCACCAGTGAAGGAGTTTCTGAGCCAGCAGCTCAAGGTGCTTGCCTGAGATGCGGATATCAACACCTTTGACCAGTCCTGGTGGATCACTTACTTGGCTAGATAGGTGACCGCCAAATTGATTGTTGCTGGATGAACGAGCTAGCGCTATAGCCCTCCCACGAATGTCACCTCAGGCTTGCGGAACAGATGCTAGTTACCGTTGAACTCCCATGCGAACGCAGGCTGTCGTCGGCCGTGGAGTTGAGCTTGAAGAATAGCGACTGCACCCACAAGCGACGCCATCGCTGCCAGAGGTGCCACCATGGACCTTGGGCAGATGGGATCGAAAGCGAGGACGGTGAGGCGTTGAGGGCAGAGGGCACGCACGCAGTCGCTGCACTGCCGGTATCCACACTGCCCGCCAGACGCCTTCATCGCGCTTCTGCTCTGATCACCACCCGCTCGTCATGCACCATAGAGGGGGAGGGGCAGCCATAAGCTCAGCAATTCCATTTTTGTTGCGGTTGCATAGCTGGTGCAATGATAGTATATCGGCCTGTATACTTGCCAACCGTGATTGACAGAGCGCCTTGGGCAGATGTGATTGGAAAACGAAGGGTCGAGGCAGGGGGCAGTTGTCGCTGCACCCACGCTACCCGCTGGGCGCCTCCATCGCGCTCCTGCTCTGGTCACAACCCGCTCGTCGTTGCCGTCCAGTGTGCGTGTCGCCTGTGTAGTTTGCAATATTCGGCCATATCACGTCTTCTGGGTCACGACACAGTCCAGTCAGCAGGCGTCGTTGCACCGCGCCTACCAAGCTGCTTACAACACCCCGCTCCCGGACCCCATAGGATCGCTCTGGCTAAACAAGACCGAGCCTTATTCCTGCCACCGATCGCACGGTGCACATGCCAACGCGGGCCCGGTTTCATATTCGACGAACGAGAAATTGGATGCGCACTAGCAGCACCAGGTCAAGTTGAATCACTTGTGAGTCTTACGCGCATATGTGAAGAGGTACCCGATGTATTGATCAGAACCTTCGGTATGACGCCACGACGACTGCAGCATGAGGATAGAAATGCTCGTGCATGGGTATTGTGCGGCTGGAAGCTGGAATAGCGAACAAAGGCTCCGACGAATCTCAACGGGCGTCTAGCATGCGTCCTTTCTCGGAATTCCCAGCTTAGACCGTAGCCACTGTACTCGGCCAGTAAGTAAGGTGTGCTGGAAATAACAGACTGTAGCCAATATACACGATCTACACGATCATGTCTGCTGCTGAAACAGCCCTACGGTAGCTTTGTGCGCCATCGAGATTGTGCTCCTATGGGCGGGGTCCCCTATCGGCCCCTGCGTTATTTGGACTAGCTTGGGCCTCTCTTCTCTTCCAACGCCCCAGGGCCCAGCATCGACATCACCCGCGTGGCCACATGCCGTCTAACCTTCCGTTGTAAGAGCCACGCCTTCCGTGCGTATAAAGCGCAACCGGAACCCACAGTGACGCACCTCGCACCCTTTTCCCATCCCATCCCCCTCTCCCTCCTTATCACCGCCAGCCAGCTAATTTACACCATGTCGGGTATTAAGCCTCCATTCACTGCTGCCACTGC